CGCCTCCCCCCCCCCCCACCCCCCTTCAGATCACCAGGTTTCCTATTATTAATACTGCAAAAATCCTGATTATCACATCTTCTGTCTAATTTTTCAGGGACGCGTCAGAACAAAGACCGTGAAAAAGGCTGCGCGGGTCATCATTGAAAAGTACTACACCCGGCTAGGCAATGACTTCCACTCAAACAAGCGTGTGTGTGAGGAGATCGCCATCATCCCCAGCAAAAAGCTGCGCAACAAGATTGCTGGGTAGGGGAGTTTAAAGCAATATAATTTGAATTCTACTGTGGGAAAGTAAGGCATGTGCGTTTTTGGGATGCATGTTGGGTATGTCTGGGACCCTAAACATCTAAATGGGAATCCTTGGTTAATTCTTGTGTGCCACCCTTTAATCCGGTCCGTAAGAAAGGTAATTGTGGCTCTGCTGGTGACCTAGGTGCCTAGTCATGATAGTGGGGGGAGTAAATATGTTGAACGCTGTTTATACTTGTTCATGGTGATGTGCGTTAAACATGCATTCCTAATGTTTACAGTCGGAATGCATATACAAATGTGAAATGCTCACTTTCTGTGTTTTCATATTTTGTAGATATGTTACCCACCTCATGAAGCGCATCCAGAGAGGCCCCGTCAGAGGCATCTCCATCAAACTGCAGGAGGAGGAAAGAGAGAGGAGGGATAACTATGTTCCTGAGGTGAGTATAGAGATTGTAGTGTGATGAATGGAATAAACTGTAGTAAGGACTCAGACTGTAGGCGTCCAAAGTCCTTGGTTTTGTCTGGAATTTGGTCAGTTGGCAGTCAGATCTCAAATGTTGACCTGCTTTGTGTCAGCACATAGGGATAACCTGTGCAATTCACAATGCAAAATGTCTCCCAAGTCTGTGTGTGATGCAGGAACATAGAAGATTCAGAAGTTCATCTTAAGTGTTAAATATGTTTGTTCCTGCAATCTGTAGGAATATATGACCAAGTTTTGTTACTGCTCAGCAATCCACCTCGCTCACTATTGTCAGTAATCTGGGGATCTGAGTACCCATGCTTGTGTTGTAGCAGAGCTATCCCCCTAGCCAGCACAGGCTCCCTGATGATAAAAGCTACAAATGCCAAGGATAAGAAGTGAGGGGAAAATCTAATGGGGACACTACCGCAGGAAACAACCTTCATTTAATAGAGTGGATATGGGGCTCTGTACGGAAGACCTGCATCGAAAGTGATTGTGGTACTGGATGTGTCCCGGTCATTGATACTGCAGGGATAGCAGCATGTGAAAGCATTTCCCGTGTTTGGGGTTCATCCACTATAGCTACCAAACCCTGAGGCTTTCATACACTGGCATTGTGCTGTATTCATTTCAGGTCAAACTGTGTTCTTGGTGTGATTCATTGATGCAGTAAAAGTGGTAAAAATAGGTCACTGTGCTATAAACTGTACACACATTTTGGTAATCGCTTCTGGGGATTGATAAGCCCATGATTGTGTTGTAGGAGAGCTATTTGCATACCCAGTGCAAGCTCTTTAATGTATCTTTTATTTTTTTTCATGTTGGAGCTACCAGATGCAGCTTATATCTGATGCTGCATGGCTACTAAAAGTATAAGCTTGTCAGGTGTTGGAATGTCTGATTCACACCGAATACTGAAAACTAGTTGGTGAAAGTAGCACCAGTTTCCTTCACAGGGGGCCTCTGCAGATACCAAATTGCAGACTCTGCTGTTATTTTTGTTTTGGTTTGCTTTTCAGGTAGGTTATTGACTTGGGAGAGGTATACAGGATTGGAGTTCAGACTCTTTGCTGCTTGCTTTTTCAGCTCAGGGACAGCGTAATGTCAGTAGTTCCAATATCTTTTGTCATCGGTTACCTTTGCAATGTGTTTGCCTTCAGGATGGGATGGTGTGGATCTCGCACCCAGAACTATGGATTAGTAAATTTGCAGGTCCCGGTTCTGCATCCTCTCAGGCCGTGGCCTGTATGCTAGATGGATTTTCTCTGTAAGCCACTTTAAAGAAGCATTTGTTTCTGAACACTGGAGTTAAATGATACCTGGCCCAAAAGAAAACCTGTCCCGCTAAAAATCTAGGAGCTGATTGAAAATGCAAGTACCAGAGCTGTCATCCATATCAATTATCTGCTTAGGAAGTTGTAGACCCAAAAACATGACTATATTGGGTGTCTTGACAGCTGATATTCACATGTAGTAGCAGGTCAGTGGTTCTCCAAATACTGATGAAAGGATAAAGATGACGGTCCTTCTCTTTGGGAGTACGTGGCCATACGCCGCCCTACGCTCACCCCAAGTGTAGGTGGGTGTCCTGGCTCGCAAATCAAATGGCAAACGCACTCATCAATTTGTTAACAGCTTTACAGCAAGGTACACATAGAAGGGCTTTAAACAGTAACAGCAAAAAGTTTCCCAGCACACCCACCAGCCAGCATGCAAAAAAAATCTTTTGCCACATGTGCTCCAAGATGGAGACTGTCATAGTTTAGATTTAGGACCGCACTATATAGAGGTGCCTTGCTGCGGCTTTCACATTTTCTGTAGAAGACGTGTATCTAAACTTCTGTTTTTAACCTTAGCGGTGAAGTTTTTTTGGTTTTTTTTTTTTGCATGCTGGCTGGTGTCCTGGCTCGGATGCAGGCAGGATCCACCCTGTCAGCGCACGAACAGGGCGGGTGAGCGTAGGGCGGCGTATGGCCGCGTTCTCCCATAGAGAAGGACGGGAGAATATTTTCTATAATGACAGTAGTCAGCAGTGACAGCCTGTGGCAATTAAACAAGTCGATTATGACGGTCGTGGAAATCATTACAGCTTAAGCCTAATTGAACCCTCCAGTTTAAATCTGCTAAATCCAGGCGCAATAAAGCAAAAACGTGTTCATTGTTTTCTTTCTAAAGCAGCCACAGTCTGAGTGGAAGACCTGTCCCCTTCCACTAGCTTCAGAGTAGGAGTTCTGGGGGAAGCAGTGGTCCCACTGCAGAGGTTTGCTCTGCCCCCTAGTGAGTCAGTCTTAAGGTGCCCATACACCTTACGACCATCGCAAGACTTTTGTCTTGCGATGGTCGTATGCTTCTTGAAAGCCCGTACGATCTGCCCACCTTGGACGGGCAGATCGTAGCTACTCAACCTGAAAGCTAAGACTCAGCAGGGGGTGTTTCAGACCTTTGCACAGAGATTGCTGCTTCCACTCATAGCCACAGTCCCACTCTGCAATTTCTTCTCAGGATGTGGCCCTTTTCTTAAGAAAGCAAAGACTTCATGCATTTGGAATGTAGGCTTTAGACTGGATTGACACAATTTCTGCTGCATTTTGGCACATGCTAAATGCATGTGGGTTGTATTGGAACCCATCTTTTCAATAGATTGCATTGATGTGCAATTTTAATGTGTTGAATTGATGTGTGGCGTTTTGGTTCACAACTGGAGCCCAACTCAATTTTTCTTAATGTGCATTGCTGCCTGCTTTGATGCATTGTGCTTCATTGTAATCCAGCATCTTTCACTCGGTGCATACCAAAAACAATGGCTTTCAGGTATTCTTTTGGTCCTGTGTTAAGCAACTTGACCCAAAGCACTTTGTGTGAATGGGTTCCCAGTGAATTGATTCTAATGTCCCTAGATGAAGATCCTGGATTTTCTACTTGTGAGCAGCTCCTCTGGAGTTTCTTGGCTGCTCCTAGTAGAGCTACAATCCTGAGCTCATGAAATATTAGGTGACCTGTCACAAATGTGCCCTACTCTTACAGAGCTCAGATCCCTTGTTAAACCTGTCCCCCTTTTTTGAGAAGGTGTGGTGAGGCATGGAATAATACAAATCGTTCAGGGGGAAGTTGTATAAAGTGATGTTCCTAAAACAGAGTAGTGGTATGTATGTGTCAGTATAACATTTTAGTTCTGCTAAAGCTGAAACGCATGACAGCTTTCAAGCAGGTCACTGCACTACTGTAGATTTCAGATGGTTCCTAGATGTAATCTTTAATACATGTGGAAATTACCTGTGTTGTTCATTCATTGACCCTCCAGCTATCTTGTGATGCCACATATCACTACCTGGTTGGGTCTTTGGGAATCACATCCATTATAAGGTAGCTTTAAGTCCCCATATATTTAAGCTCTTGTTTACCAAATATTAGTGTGGTTATGTTCAGTTTTTTCAATACTGGTTGTACTTTCTGTTCTCCGGCAAGTCCTTTAATGTCCTCTGCACTTAGTTATGGTGTATAAGAAGTGTTTGTTTTCTTCCATTTCTTGTAGGTATCTGCCCTGGATCAAGAGATCATTGAGGTTGACCCTGACACCAAGGAAATGCTAAAGTTGCTGGTAAGTGCATGTTTTTACCTGGGAGTGGTCATTTGCTTGATTTGTAGGATCCAGTTTCCATATTTTAAGGTTTTAACACCTGCATCGAAAGTGATTGTGGTTTGATCAGTGGCCCGGTCATTGATACTGCAGGAAAAGCATGCTTTGAAAGATTTTCCCGTGTTTGGTTGTCATTTGTACAATCCAAACCCTGTTCCTTTCATACAACTTTAGGCATTTGCTGTGTATGGGGCTGTTTACTTGGTTGTAGCTTGTAGAGCCTTTTTCTCCTTCCAGATTAACTATGGTGTGAAGGAGTTATTGAATACAGTAACCTTGTGAAAGTCATAATTTCCTCTGGATGGTTGAAGACATTCTTAGTAAAATGGTGCTCATGTTAAGTCTTGCTGGGATTGGTAAATGAAGCAACAGAAGTGTTTGCAATGTTTCTTACTAGGGGTGCAACAACTAATCGACATAATCGATTATAATCGATTATTGAAAAAGTTGTCAACTTTTTCAATAATCGATTAATCGGCTTCCGATCAGTTGGCCCTGTTCACAGCTCCACACGCTGTGCGCCGCACCTCCTCCCCACCTCACGCTCGCCGCTGCCAGACCCGCTCGCATCCACGCTCCACACGCCGCACCTCCTCCCCGCCTCACATTTCCTGCCCATCCACGATCGGCAAGGCACGCGGGGAGATGTAGTAAGGAGGAGCAGGGGTGGGGGGATGACAGCAGCTGATAGACAGGTCCAATCTCAGAAGCAAGTTGCTGGAAGACTGGTCAGGTAAGCCTGCACTTTCCCACACATGGTGCTCTATAATGTATTGCTGGGATTTGTATTTCTCTGGTACATTGTACTGTACATTATACATAGGAATACAAATACCAGCAATGCATTATACACTGTATGTATAATGTATTGCTGGGATTTGTTGTACTCCTCTATAGCTGGTGATATTCTGCATTGCGCTGTATAGAGGACTACAAGTCCCAGCAATAATACATTATACAGCGCAATGCGGAATACCACCAGCTATAGAGGACTACAACAAATCCCAGCAATAGTACATTATAAAGTGGTACAATGCTAAATACCACCAGCTATAGAGGACTACAAAACCCAGCAATAGTACATTATACAGCACAATGCAGAATGCCGCCAGCTATTATGTACTATTGCTGGGATTTGTTGTATTCCTCTATAGCTGGCGGTGTTCTGCATTGCGCTGTATAATGTGCTTTTGCTGGGTTTTGTAGTCCTCTATAGCCGGTGCCATTCTGCATTCATTGCTGTATAATTTTACACTTTCCATTTCACTATATTGCACACCACACTATCTTTTTTTTCTTTTTTACTTCCACCGCTCCAAGCTTGCTCCTGTGATGGACTACAACCTCAATACAAACTAGTAGTCCTATCACTGGAGCCATTTTTTAAACTTTATTTTATTGTTTAACCGATTAATCGAACGTAATAATCGGCTAACTAATCGATTTTGAAAATAATCGTTAGCTGCAGCTCTAAGAGGGACCCTGACATGGTCATGTGATCGGGATCATGACCACATACACTATATTGCCGAAATTATTGGGACACCCCTCCAAATCATTGGATTCAGGTGTTCTGTGACGTTTCCTTGCTACTAAATATTCCGGTCAACCATTAGTGGTATTATAACAAAGTGGAAGCAACTCCGCCGCGAAGTGGTAGTCCATGTAAAATGACAGAGCGGGGTCAGCGCATACTGCGCAGAAGTCGCCAACTGTCTGCAAAGTCAATAGCTTCCGATGATTCCAATGCTGAGCGCGCAGTGTGTGCTTGCGCACACCGGCCCGTGCAGCATTTGTCTTCCAAGCACGCCACTAACCCGCCGAAAATCTTAAGATTTTCAGCAGGTTCTAAAGCGTGCTCGGAAGACAAAAGACGTGCGACCGTACAGTAGAAACGGTCGCACGCCTTCCATACACCTGCCGATTATCGTACGATAATCGGCAGGTGTATGGGCACCTTTTAGACTGGGATGCCATTAAAGTTCATGTGCGTGTAAAGGCAGGCGTCCCAAAACTTTTGGCAATATAGTGTATGTAGGTCTTCACTCATGTGGCACACATTGAAGGGGGAACATAGAGCTGCACATTGTCTAGGAAACAAATGAATCACTTGTACTACTCTTAATTCAAGCAAGAATGTTAATATTTATGTATAATTTATCTTTTATAACTATGGGGTCAGGGCCTTTCCCCATAGTTCTCCTTAGGGTAACGGGAGGACACAAACTAGTGTCCTCCCAAAGCTCAGTATACTGAGATGCTGGGACGGATACCGACTTTACTGTCAAGATCCACCTAGCTGTGTGAGTGACAGCTGGCTCTGCCTATCTAGAGGCAGAGCCAGCTATGCCCGCTCCCGCCCGTTCCGCCAGTCAGCGCTGGAGGATCGGGGAGGGGGAATCCCTGCCGGAGGCTGTGAGTTAGTCATGGCTCTCTGCAGGGATAGATCGAGAAGTGAGCGAGAGACTGTATGTGTTCGCTCACTTCCCGATCTACTGAACCGACCTGTGACAGTCTCGTTGTCACAGGTCGGCTAGAACTATGAGGTGAGTGATTTTTCACTCGCCTCATAGTTCTCCTTTAAATCCAGGGAAACCACGAGAGAGGTTTTCAAATTCATGTGCACAGATTTAACCTGCCAAAAGATTTTGTTCCATGCAGCCAGTCTTGTGATTCTCACATCCTTGTGAGGCTTCTGTCTTTTCACTGGACAATGATCATTGGCATTACACTGCTCATTCACAGAGCAAAGTGTCGGCAGCTGACACCGTGAAATGCAGAGCTAAACTAGGATACAATTTGCCGTCCTTGGCATGCAGCTAATAAAATCAAAGACTGTCATTTGAATGGTTGCAGGTCAGGGCAAAATGTCTGTAAATGAATTGGTAGTATGTGGCACTTATTCTTGTTCTAATTTTCAGGACTTTGGCGGCTTGTCCAACCTGCAGGTGACCCAGCCCACCGTGGGGATGAACTTCAAAACACCACGGGGGGGAGTTTAATTGTTTGTATCATGATTTCCAATAAACGTGGGAAAACCACATACATACTGTTTTATTTTTTCATTTTGTGTGCAAGAATACCAAGTTGAATGAATGCTTTGCAGTTGAAGTGAAAGCACTGGAGTCCAAATACGATTCATAATTTTATTTTTGTGTGTGAATCCCTTTGCAGTACTGAAAGTAATTTAGAGCCCAAAAATCATATTGTGTAAAAGGTTACCGAGCCTGCATTCCTCCATACCTATGCTACGTTCACTTTACTGGATATTTCACCTGATTGCTCTGATGTTGTCAGATTTCCCAATGAAGTCCATTGGTTTCAGCACATTTTAGTACAAATGATAGTCAGTGGTGCTGCGTGGAAGTAGAAACTTTTAATGGCTGCAATAGTTGCACATTGGGGCTTTTACAGGTCAGCCACAAAAGCTGGGGTACTTTTTCTCAATTGGAAAAAGATGGTAACCTTATAAAATGTATAACCAGCCTTTGTAGCGGGGTGCACATGGGAAGGTTTACAACAATACAAAACACAAAATCCCCAGCTAGCCTGCAACAAAACAAATGACCCTGTCTAACAGTGTGCGTTAAAGCAGAGGTCCCAGTGTGCATTTTTGGTTGCTGGGCCCCTGGTGCGTCCCTGCACCTTGTGAGTAGGAGTAGGCTACCTCCTGGTACACCTGCATTTAATTTATCGACTGCATTAATATGCCTCATAGTTCTGGTCCTCCATCCCCTTGATGAGTTTGTTCGCCCTCTGCTGGACTTTCTGCAGTTCAAGGACATCCCTTCTGTGCACCGGTGCCCAAAACTGCACCGCATACTCCAGGTGGGGCTGAACCATTGATGTGTAAAGTGGCAAAATTATAGACCTATCCCTACAAAATATTCCCTCCTTGATACAGGACTCTACTAGCTTTGCGTACAGCAACCTGGCACTAATCTATTATTCAGTTTATGGTCTCCAATGACCAGGTGTGCTGGGGATTCTTTGTTTTGTACTTTTCTCAATTGAGCCCTTATTTAATCCTTTTAAAGTGAAGCCAAAACTTCAGGTCTGTATACACATCCCTGGTTATTAACTTGTGTACTGAAGCCATCTTATCAGCTCCACAAAACATATTTAGGAGATGTGAGATGGCTGCCAACATTTCCTGTTATACTCCTCTTTTTGTCCTCAGGCACTCTGTGACAGCGCTGGGCCCCAGTTTTTTGCAATTTGGCCTTCCAGTACTGTTTTACTGGCATTGGTCTGTCGGTGAGCAAATGGAGGTGGGGAGTAAAAAGGAAATATGTGCTAGGTAAGAGGAAACATCTAGAAATGGTAACTATGTCCAAGCAGTACCTCCTGCCTTTCATTTCCTTGTTTTAAAAAAATAGCAGTGCCTTGAGCCTCCTAACAATATGTCTGGAGTGTAAGGTCTAAGGCACCATGTCTGACTGCTAGTTACTCAAGATTTGGTGATGCCATTAATGTGCTGCTCACTATTTTGTTTTACCTTGGAGAGAAAGCTTTACATGAGAACCTGCAGTGCTATGATCCTACTTCTTCATCCACTCTAGAGGAACTGTGTTTTCTGAACCTCTTTGGCTGCTGCCTAATTATCCCTCCATTAGAGCACCAGTCAATGAGGGGGCGGCCCTGATATGAAGAAGCAAAGCCATGATCTACCCTGATAGCCACATCCACACAAACACAATGCAGATCGTGGAATGTTAAGTCATTAATGGGGGTTGGGTGGAATGTGCTGCAGGGAGCTCACAGGCTCTATTGGCAACTAGTCTTTTCTCCTCTGCCTGCCTTTTTGGGCACATCTTCCACAGATTGTCCTCTTTAACTCCCTCCCGGCCAGCCGCTGTGTATACACGGCCTGCCGGGAGCTTCTTGGATGTAACTGGGCGTGTATACACGTCCTGTTACATCCGCCCGCTCGGGCGCGCGCGGGAAATCCCCGCTAATGCACAATTTTCTCAATTTTCAGTAATTTCTCCTGAATATAGTAAAAAATAAAACCCGCAGTGGTGATTAAATACCACCAAAATAAAGCTCTATCTGTCCCTAAAGGTATAAAATTCATTTCAGTACAGAGTTGCGTGACGGAATAAATGTCAGTCAAAGTACCGCAGCGCTGAATACTGAAAAATGGCCTGGCCAGGTAGGGGATCTTAACACCTGGTCTTCAAGCGGTTAAAAAGTTTTTCCTGTCCTGCAGTAACTTTGGAAGTTCTATGCTGGGCTGTGGTATAAAAGGAACAGAAGGAACCTCCTCTAAGGTGGGATAAGTAATAAAAAAAACATATGTATTTTATCTATATGCTTCGTTTAATTAAATCCAACAAACATGTCTCTGCATACCGGTCCTAGGGTGACAATGTTCTGTGTTTAGCTGCAGCATTGTCACACTTTCCTGCACACTTCAGGTTGGATTACAAGCAGTTCTCGTCCACACCGATGGGTCTATTTATAAAATGACCTCTAGATGGCGCTAAGGATAATGGGGAATTCATGCATGTTTGTATGATCCTCAGCGCCATCTAGTGGCCATAATACAATATTTTCACAATTGAACATACAACCTGGAGAGAAATGACACTAAGAACATCTGTTTTTGTCCTTTTATCACAACAGTTGGTTAATTTGCATAGAATGAATTTATGTGCTGTTTCAGTGGACAAACCTATGTGATTTCCCCCCCCCCATAATTAGACCCCAAAGAGTTTACAGGATGTGCATGGCACAGGAAAACAATGTACAGAGCTGAAGGAAAACTATTTGTTTTAAAAAAAAAAAAAAAAACCTGTAATCCTGTTTTTCCTTCAAAATCGTAAAGACCGAAATCACCAGCACTCAGTCAAAAGCATTCAATTCTTTTGCTTATTTTTGAGGAAACATCGCAATCGTCAATTCGCCAAGTGTTTGGGGGCCACGCAGGGTCCCTTTAAGGTGACATAGAGATCTGTTTATGATTTTGGAAAACACAATACCATCCGTGTAATCACTATGAGCATGCATCATAACACTACTGTTTTCCTATCAGTGATCTGAAAAACTTAATATTGCTTCTCGGCCTTTTGGCTAAGATCAAGTGTAGTATCTGTTCTTATCAGTTGTCAGGAACTGAAAGTCCGCTGTCGCCTAGGAAGGGTGGATGGACGGACCAGTAGGTTCCTGGCGTAATTGGTAGGTAGCTCCTGATGGGAATGGATACGAAACTTGGTCGAGGCTAGAGGGTTCGGGGGCGGCAGAAGCCGTGGTGTTGTGCCCCCTGGGGGTGGCGTCCCAGGGGTGCTCAGGAGGTCACTTGGGTGTGGGACCCCACATTGACTCACTGATCACTTGGTCACACACCACCTTGCATTTTCTGCACATCGCCTCTTGGACAGGCCTTTTGGCTAGTCCGGGGCAATTTTTTTGCACTCGGCCCCTAAGACCTGTCAGCGTGGTGCACTGGCACTTTAGTATTATTTATGCACGATTGCACGTTTGGCTTTTTTTTCAAAAGCTTTTTGACCCACAGATGCTGAAGGTGCAGGTTTCTTCGGGGCCTATTCCTGATGCTGGGAGGAGATTCTGTGCCTCCTACGGGGTTCTCGGTCTCCTCCCACCCAGGAGGGGGGTTTCTCTTTGGGAGATCCCCCCTGCCTAGTACTGTGAGGGACCTGTTTCGGCAGGTCCCCGACGGAAATGGTCCATCGGCCTTCGTGTTGGTGGGCCAACAGTCTCAACCCCTGTCGGGAGCCTTGCGCCCCGTGGGGTCGGGAAAGTAGGTCCCTTCTTTTGAAGGACCTTGCACCCTTGTGCACGTTTTTGTGTGCTGTGATTTCACGGTTCACTTTTTTTGTTCACAGGGGGGAGTTTGTTTTGATGCACGTACACGGGCTTCGGAAAAAAAAAATCTGTTCTTATCAGTTGTCGGGAAAGAACAGCGGCTGTCACCTTAGGAGAGGGGTAGATGGCCGCTCAGTATTTCCTGGCATAATTGGTAGGGGGCTGGATGAGGTTCCAGGCCATCGGAGCTTTCGACCCTTGTGATGGGTGGGCTCCGGCGGAGGGATCTCTGAAGGTGCCCTGCCTCCTGAGACGAATGGATGCGAAGCTTGGTCTGGCTGGAGGGTTGGGGGCGGCAGAAGCCCGTGGTGTTGTGCCCCCTGGGGGTGGCGTCCCAGGGGTGATCAGGTAGTCACTTGGGTATGGGAACCCACGTTGACTCACTGATCACTCGGTCACACACCACATTGCTTTTTTCTGAACAACGCCTCTTGGACAGGCCTTATGGCTAGCCCGGGGCAATTTTTTTGCACTCGGCCCCTAAGGCCTGTCAGCGTGGTGCACTGGCACTTTAGTACTATTTATTGCACTCTATGCACGATTGGCTTTTTTTTTAACGCTTTTTGACCCACAGATGCTGAAGGTGCAGGTTTCTTCGGTGCCTATTCCTGACGCTGGGAGGAGATTCTGTCTCCTCCCACCCAGGAAGGGGGTTTCTCTTCGGGAGATCCCCCTTGCCTAGTACTGTGTGGGACCTGTTTTGACAGGTCCCCAAAGGATCGGGGTCCACCGGCCTTCGGGTTGGTGGGCCAACAGTCTCAACCCCTGTCGGGAGCCTTGCGCCCCGGGGGGTCGGGAAGTAGGTCCCTTCTTTGGAAGGACCTTGCACCCTTGTGCACGTTTTTGTGTGCTGTGATTTCACGGTTCACTTTTTTTGTTCACGGGGAAGTTTGTTTTGATGCACGTCCATGAGCTTCGATATATAAAAAAAAATAAAAAAATCTGTTCTTATCAGTTCCACAGGGGAAAAGCATGGACTGTCCTTGGGACGGACAGTTGCTTAGTACCTTCAGGAGTAAAGGCAGGTGCTCGAGGCGACTTTTTTTTTTTAGCAGGGGGGGTTTCCTCGGCACCATTGCCTACTGACTGAACAGATGCGAAGCTTGGTCGAGGGTTCGGGGGCGGCAGAAGTGTTGTGGTGCCCCCGGGGGGGTGGCATCCCAGGAGTGCTCAGGAAGTCACTTGGGTGTGGGACCCCACATTGACTCACTGATC